ACCGGGCTGCCCGGGCGGCCGCGGGCCGCGCTCACGGTCGCCGCCGAGTCCCCGCGGGCTCGGCCGGCCGCGTGGCCGCGCGCCCCGCCGGCGCCCGCAACTTAGTTTCCGAAGCTCCGGCTTTGTTGGGGCGCCGCGTGCGGGGCGTCGCGGGGGCTCCGCGACCCCGACCCGGCCCTCCGGCCCGGCGGCGACCAGCGCGGCCGGGGGGTCATTGTCACCTCCGGCGCGGACGCCCGCCCGCCGCCGCCGCCGCTCGCCCGTCTCCGCCGCGCTCACCCTCCCCGCGCCCGACTTTCGGTTTACCTCCGCGACCCTCCCCAGGCGAGGAGCGCCCTCCCGGCGCCCCCGTACAAAAGACCGCGGGGTCCGGGGAGCACGCGGACGGCGCTGCCCGCGATGCCATCGCCCAGACAAAACTTCCTGTGGGTTTGTGTATGGGAAGGACGGAGGAGGCGGGGGAGGTAAAGGGAGGACAGAGGGGAAAAAGCCACAGAAAGCAGAAGCCCGGAGACGGGCTCGCACCGGCGCCCCAGCCCGGCCCTCACCCTCCACGCGCGGCGGCGTCCCCGCGGTGCACACTGCAGCAGGCCAACCCCTGCAAGCGCTCTCCGCCGGCGCCGCGTCCGGAAAGATAGTCTCCTGCAGTTCTTCAGTTGCTACCGCGGACGGAGGTGCGGATTCCGCTGTGCCTCTGCGCACGCGCGGCTCCCGGGACCGAATTCTCCTGAATCGAGCTGATTTGCATACGGACGCGTGCGCGCCGCGGGCTGGGCGGGGAGAGGGCGGGGCGTCCGGCGCGCGCTCCCGCGGCCCCTATTGTCCTTTTAAGGGGCGAAGCCGCGAGGCGCGGGAAACGCGGCGGCCCGCGGGGCCGGGGGCGGGGCCTGCCTGCTACGCAACACGCGTAAACAAACGCCCGGGGAGGGCGGGGCGCCGGGGCGGGGCGGGGCGCCGCGGCGCAGAGGTGAGCGGTCCTCCCCGCCGGCCGCACCCCTTGGGACGCTCTGGGCTCGGAAAGTTCTGGAAGCTGCTTCTGCTGCGTTCCCGCGCCTACGCCCACTCTCTAGCCCGAGGTGACAGAGCGTGTCCCCACCTTTCCTGAATTCTGCTTGAAGGTGAGCATTTCCATCTCTAAGGGCCTGGCTGGCGATGCTGCTCAGCTGGCACCGTCAAACCTGACCCCCCCCACCCCCACCCCCGAAGGCGAGATCGGACTTCTGCAGATTCACCTCCGCACTCCACGGGCACACCCACAAAATGGAATTTCAATTCCCCAGCAGAGATTTGGTTCTCGTAGTTGTAATGAGTCGTTTAGTAAAGTTCCATTTTGACATAGCCCTCTTCTTAAACATGACCTACCTAACCCTTATCACAGGGTTTTACTGTGCCGCGTGCACTGAAGTTCTCAAGCCGCTGCGATTTTCATGATGGTAATTACCGTGGGAATGGGGAATGGTGCCGCTTTCTAAAAACACAAATCCTCCAGCCATGAAGAGCTCCTCAGCCCAGAAAAATCGCTTGGAAAGGGAGACAGTGGACACAAAATACACACCATTCCTTGTGGAATATAAAATAATCTACATCTAAATGTTACTAAAGAAAATCAAAAGAAAGGAAGTAATCAAGAGAAAACAAAAAGAGGTCCCAGAGAATGAAGAGTGTGGGAAAAGGAGAATGACCCTGAAGTAACTTTTCAGATGAAAAGGTAGGAAATGAAAGAAGTGTTGTGATCCTCCTTTAGCTGAGCACTGTAGAGAAATTTTAATTTAGAGCATGGCTGCTCTCGCAAGAGACCACATCCAAAGACCTTCTAGGTCTGTGTGATCTGGCTGGAATACAAACATGTCTTTAATCCAGGAGACAGAGGCAAGCAGATCTGAGTTCGAGGCCAGCCTGGTATTGAGCAAGTTTTAGGTAAAGAAAAGCTTAGGTCCAGGTGTGACAGTGCACATCTTTAATTCCAAACAATGGAGGCAAAGTTAAGTTTGTAGAAGGAAGCACCCATGTTTGAAAGTGACGTCTAATTGAGTGGCAGAAAAGGTAAGGAATCAGAGAAAGACTTCACAGGATAGGATGCACCCAACTCTCAAGAGAAGAGAGAGGGAAAGGAATCTACTTAAGGGGCAATGCAGAAAGAAAAAGTGGCAGTTTTTACCAGGACATTAATAGACAGGTGCAGAGAAAGAACACAGGTGAAGACCAAATGAGCCAGACAATGAGAAAGACCCAGGAGATTAGAAAAGATTGCTGGAGTTAGTTTGAGGCCAAGCAGAGCAATTCAGAGGCCAAGAGAGAAGCCAGATTGAATCAGTCAGCTGGGAGAGGAGTTTGAACCGGAACAGCTGAGTTGAACCAGCCAGCCCAGAGTTCAGAAAGAACAAGAAAGGGTGAGCTTACTCAGGAGTGAGTTTCAGAGGCTGGAAACATTCTAGGCTAAGCTAGAAGCTTCCAGGACTGGGCCTAGGTTAGCAGACAAGGCAGTACGCCTCCAAGACAACAATTTAAATAGGAGAATAAAAGTTCCTTTTACAGAGCACGCCATAACACCTGATCAGTGGGAGGAGAGGGAAAAGATTGCCTTTTCCAGAACCTGATACTGGTTTCTTGGTGGGAACTGTGGAAGTCAACTGTAAAACTTCATCATTGCTGGCAAAGATTCACTGCTTTTGTTGTGGGGTCATCTATACAGATAAAAGCAAATACTAATACTTATGAAATGCTACTTTAATTCAATAGCTAATTTCTGGAACACAGTTCAAACTTACTTGTAAAAACCTCAACTTTTTAAAAAGTTCTGCTACAATATCCCTGTAAAGGAGGGGAGAAAATAAATCTGACAACGCTCACTAAAATACAACTCCTTAAAGGCAAAAAGATTGTCTCTTATGTTTATATTCCAGTGCCTAAAACACTGCCTGTCACATAATGGATTCTTAATAACTATTTGTAAAATATACTTGGAATTATTTTTTATTATAGGTTTAAGTTTGACCTAAAATGAGGGTTATAATGAAACCTTGATTGCCATTTTTGTCTTTAGGTAATAAAATCTTACAGCCTTAAGAACTGTTTCCAAGGCTAGAGAGATAGCTCAGAGGTTAAGAGCACTGTCTGCTCTTCCAGAGGTCCTGAGTTCAATTCCCAGCAACCACATGGTGGCTCACAATCATCTATGGTGAGATCCAGTGCCCTCTTCTGGTGTGCAAGCTCGCATACAGACAGAACATTGTATAAATAATAAATAAATAAATAAATCTTAAAAAAAAAAAAAACTTTCCAGCGTGGCTGTATTAGCACTTCCCTTTATCCCAGCACTTGGGAGGTGAAGGGAGGAGCATCTCTATTGGCATTGAGGCTACCCTGGTCTACAGAATAAGTTCTAGGACAACCAGAGAAACAGAGAAAACCTGTCTTGAAAAAACAAAAACAAAACTTTTTCCAGTCTTCCCTTGGTGACAAGTGGCACCAAACATAAATGTATACTTTCTTCGTGTTTAACTCTGTGTGCATGTGTGTGTGTTTGAATGTGGAAGTCATGGCACAAGTCCAGTTCTCTCCTTTGACCATGCCACGTGGTCCTAGGCATTGGATTCAAGTTGTTAGATTTGGCTGTAAGCACTTTTAAACTTTGAACCATCTCTCTTGGAGAAATGTTAGTGAAAGAATCAGACTAACTTTGTAACCTATGTTTCTTTAATTGCCCTATAGCTTATATTTTCAAGTTTTAGGCCCCTGTTAATTAAAGCCTCTTAGTGCTTCTCCAGAGAGCCGAGGAATGTAAAAGTTCCTGACATTAGCCATCTGTGAGGGCAGAGATAAGGAAGAAAACAAGCAGAGATCTCTACTAATGGAGAGAAAATCACGGGCTGGCACCTGTGAGATGAGCGTTGTTTGGAAACTGGACCAATGGTCCCAATCCTTCTCCTGACCTTTGATCCAAAGCCTGTAACCCCCACTCCTCAGAACAGACACGGGATGAGTTAATCACTCTCCTACCTTTAACTGCGGCTATATCTCATATGGCAGGAAATTCCAAACTGACTTGAAGATCAGATATTTATGACAGGGCTGACCAGACCTAAGGGTGCCCAGAACCAACCAATTCTTTTAAAAGTTAAACACCTCAGCCAATCATGAATTGCCAAGAAGGCAACTCCTAGAATTCCCCTCGCCTTGTCTTTTAAAAACCTAAGGTCTTTGTCTCCCGGTGCCACTCCTTGCTGACCAGCAGGGGTGACCCCATTGCACAATGGTCAAAATAAACCTCTTGCGATTTTGCATCAATGGATGATCAGTTTCCTGAGTTCTCTTCATACCTTCTTATATTTAGGCTCTTGCTGGGCCTAACAGTTAGAACTTATTATGACTTTTGACTGAGATTCCAAAGTTTTGAATTATCAAATGTCTTGAAGTATAAAAACTGCAAATATCATGTGCTGGAGAGATGACTCAGTATTTAAGAGCACCTGCTGCTCTTCTGGAAGACCCAAGTTCAGTCCCCAGTAGCCAATGGCAGCTAACGTGTGTCTGCAACTCCACTTCCAGGAGACCTGACTCTTCTATCGTCCGTCTGGGCACCAGGCATGAACAAAGATGCAGGCAAAATACCCTTGTACATAAAGTAAAAATATTTTTTAATATAAGTATCATATCTTTACAACTTCTGTTATGTAAAAGAAATACATATGCCTGGTGTGGTAATGCAGGCCTTTAACCCCAGCACGTTAGGGTTCAGGAGCATCTCTGAGTTCTAGGCCAGGCTGTCTGTAAAAGAAGAACCCAGACGCTCGAGCCACTTCCTCTCCTCTCCAAGTAGAAAGGGAGAAGAAATTGGACAGCAACAAAATTCTTGGGAGAATTCCTTAGACATCTTTTTGTGTGTTTGGTTTTTGGTTTTTCCAGACAAGTGTTTCTCTGTGGAGCCTTGGCTGTTGTGGAACTCACTCTGTAGAGCAGGCTGGCCTCAGACTTACAGAGATCCATCTGCATCCCAAGTGTTGGGATTAAAGGCATGCAATCACCACTGCCAGGCCCACAGATATCTTTTCATGATCACCTTTTATTTATTGAACATCCGGGCACATTCTTCATTTTTTGCTTGAACATGTTATAACTGTCCCTGCCCAGGGCTAATTACTCATTTACGGGCTATCTTTACAATACTACGACCTAAACACCCCACGTCGACTTTTCATCATGAAGAAGCAAAGAAATAACCCATGATGATATATAAATTTGGATAAGTGATTGAATTGCACCATGTTAGGGAAATACCTGAGGATTTATAATGGCTATAGTTCCATGTTGAACTTATAATGAGGTCTCAGAAGCTTTTGGTTTATTTTTGTTAGTCACCCAGATAGTCTGGGTAAGCCAGTTACTTTGATTATAATGTATTATCCTTGCTATCAAATGGTCTTTAAATATATGAGTCTCTTTATCAAACATTTAATGAGCCAGATAGTGGAATCATTTCTCCACTAGATGTCTCAGACTTCTCAGCCCTTCTAATGTGTTTCTGTATATTCTGTCAGTTTGTCTGTTTTAGAAGGGAGTTAGAGGTATAAGAACCCCAATAAAATAGAGAAAAAATACACACTACACCAGCTGTGCTCTCCTGCCTTGGCTATTGGCCATTTTGCTATTTATTTATTAAACCAAGAAGGAGGGACTATTTGTAAACTATAAAGCGGGCATGGTGGCATATGCCTTTAATCCCAGCACTCAGGGAGGCAGAGACAAATTGCTATGAGTTCAAGGCCAGCCTGGTCTACAAAGTGAGTTCAGGGCTACACAGAGAAACCCTTGAAAAACAAAGCAAAACAGCAAAAATCACTCCAACACTGGGTAGTATTAATCCCACCAAACAAGACTAAAGACCCAATCACTTGTCAAGTTCTGCAAGCTGTATGTTCTGCGAGTAAGGCTGTCACCCTCAAGCAGGGTTTATATTAGCCCCCACACTGCAAAGCTAGGAGATTTTCAGGAGGTTTTGGTTACATAGGAACTTGACAGAACATCTTATCCGATAAGGGTGTAGGTTAGGGTATAGGGTGTGAAGCATGTCAAATCCAGAAAACAGGTCAAGACCAGGCTAAATCCAAGTTTTATAGAAAATGGGAATGAACTTATCTTGACTTTGTGATAAAATGGAGTCAGGGTGGTCCACCAGAGGGTGGAGAGCTACATCAGTGTCTGTCATGTTGAATGGTGGGAAAGTGCGGAAGCTACTTCTTTCTCGTTCCTTGTGAATTCATTCAACTTTGCCTGACTCTCTAGAGCAGGAAATATTTTTCTCTTTCGTATTTTATTTTATTTTATTTATTTTATTTGGAGTTTTCTCAAGACAGGGTTTCTCTGTGTAGCCCTGGCTGTCCTGGACTTGCTTTGTAGACCCCACTGGCCTCAAACTCACAGAGATCCACCTGCCTCTGCCTCCCTGAGTGCTGGGATTACAGGTGTGAGGTACTGCCTGGCTCTTTTGTATTCTTTTACCGCTCTGTCAGTGCCTCTTAGCTGACATATTGATTTCTCCTTTCCACTTTAATTGCTTGTTGGCGCTGACTCATAGATTTGGTCTTTGGAGAGAAAGCAGAGCAGCTCTGACTTTAAAGCTGAAGACTCAGGGCTTCTGGCCCCCTGAAGGGGAAGGACCCAGTGTACCCAGCACAGCCAGGTTCATCTTGGAATTTCTGCAGCGCGAAAGCAGGAGCTGCGTCAGCTCCCCATCACTGCTGTGACAAGCACCTGATAAAAAGCCCCTTAAGGAGGGTTTATCTGGGCCCAGAGCCTGTCACGGTGGGACCATGAAGACACTGGTCACCTCGCATCCGCAGCCAGGAAGCAGGGAACAAAGAATGCTGGCGCTCAGCTCACCTTCTCTTCTTTCCATTCAGCCTTGGCTCCCAGGCTAAGGAAAGGTGACTCCCACTGATGAGGCTCTCACGGAAGTGTCAGGCCATGGAAAGGTGACTCCCTCCGAAGTGTCCAGACATTTGTCTCCCAGATGATTCTGGATTCTGTCAAAGTGACAATGTCAACCATTACAGATGTCTAATAAACATTTGTTAAATGATTTATCATGGAGAGATGGCTCAGAGGTTAAGAGCACTGGCTGCTCTTCCAGAGGTCATGAGTTCAATTCCCAGCAACCACGTGGTGGCTCACAACCATCCATAATGAGATCTGGTGCCCTCTGCTGGTGTGCAGGTGTACATGCAAACAACATTATATACATAATAAATAATAAATCTTAAAAAAAAAGATTTGTCACCATCATCCATTTTTGTAAACCCATATACTGGTGAGAATTTGTAGAAAGAGGGACCCATGTCTATTAGGAATGTAAATGTAGGGCAGGAGAGATGGCTCCACAGTTAGGATCACTTCTCCAGAGCTCTTGCAAAGGACCTGGGTTTGGTTCCCAGCGCCCACATGCTGCCTCACACCCGTTTGTAACTCCAGCTCTCAGAAACACTGATGCCCTCTTCTGGCTTCCCCGAGCACCAGGTACACAAGTGGCCCACGTATGTGAGGGAACACAGTAAAGAAACTGACAACATGACTGCCCCATGATACGGTTGAGGGAAAGAGAGAAACATCCAGAGGCATCTGCAAAAGTCCAGAGCAGCGAAGAAGCAGACTGAATATGGCCAATGCTAGGGAGGCAGGGCAGCAGCAGCAGAGCAAAGCGGGAGACACTGGGAGCAGCAAGAGACCGAGAATAGCAAGAGATGGGGTAAGAGGGGCAGACTGCATGGGGCCAGGGCTGTCTGCGGAGAAAGGACAATAGCAGGAGCAGGGGAAATCTTGGAAACATAACTGGAAGAAAAGAGCCCTGGAGAAGTGAGATGGGCCAGGATGCCAGGGCTTTGAAATTTTTGTAGGGACTGAGGGAGGCGGCAGGCCGGATGGGCTTTGACATGCAGCCACAGGTACGCATCGTTGGAGAGCCCTATGTCCACTCCTTTGGAGAAATGGAAACCAGTTTCGCAAGTTCTGAGGAATGCCGCAGAATACCTAACCACTCAAAGTCCTCCCGTGGTCCACGCTGAGCTGGGCCTAGACTCAATTTTGGACGAGTCGGTGGTCTGCCCTTTTGTGGGGGAGGGGTGTTGACACAGAGTAATCTGAGAGGAGGAAACCTCAATTGAGGAAATGCGTTGGTGAGAGCAGGCTGTAGACAAGGCTGCAGCGGGTTTTTTTAACGAGTGATTGATGGGAGAGGGCCCAGCCCGTTGTGGGCGGTGCCACCCCCGGTGGTCCTGACGTCAATAAGAAGCCAGGCTGAGTGAGCCGCGGTTAGCAAGCCAGCGAGCAGCACCGTCCATGGCCTCTGCATCAGCTCCTGCGTCCAAATTTCTGCTTCGTTTGAGTTCCTGTCCTGACTTCCTTCAGTGATGAACAGTGATGTGGAATGGTAAGATGAAGAATCCCTTTCCTCCCCAGGTTACTTATGGTCGTGGTGTTTCATTATAGCAACAGTAGCCCTAACCAACATGGAGGTGGGGGAGGGAGGTGTTTTACCCGTTTTGGACCTGACAGTCTAGAAAAAAAAAAAGTAAACTGACACACAATGGAAATTAATAAGGAAGGTCCTCGAAAAGCTGAAAATGGGGCTGGTGACATCACCCAGCCAAGGTGCTTGCTTGCTGTCCAGCTTAACAATCTGGGCTCAACTTCTAGGATTCATGTGGTGGAATTAGAGAACTGACTCCTAGTTGTCCTCTGACCTCCACAGACATGCTATAATGTACCCTAACCACCCCTCATACACGCGCGCACACACACACAGAGACAAATGTAATTTAAGAACAATTTTAAGCTGAAGAAAGAACTACCATATGAGCCAACTCTCCTAGTCCTGGGTGTGTCCCTAGAGGGCTCTGAAAGATGCCTGCACACCCATGCTCACGTCCATAGACTCACAACAGCCAGAAAATGAAACCAGCCCAGCTATTCATCAACAGATGAGCCCAAAGAAACTGTGGTGCAGATACACAATGGCGTTGTTCTCTTAGATTGCCTCACCTTTATCATGTGTCTGGATGTGTGTGAGTTTGAGTACGCCATGGCCTACATGTGGAAGTGAGAAGATAACTAGCAGGAGTTTCTCCTGCTGTCATATGGGGTCCAGGGATCGAACTCAAGTCATGAGGGTTGGTGACAAGTGTTTTGACTTGCTAAACAAACACATGTAAAATAAAAATTTAAAAAAAAACATGTTTTAATTGGTGTGTGTGTGTGTGTGTGTATGATGAAACTAGAAAGGGGATCATGGGAGCAAAGGAAGTGATGTTAAGTGAGGAAAGAGAAGATAATAGGGTACACATGATAAGACAGCAGAAAGGTAGATTGTCTTGGGGAAGAAAAGGAACCAGGCCAGGCACCTTTAATCCCAGCGCTCGGGAGGCAAAGGCAGGCAGATCTTTATGAATTCAAGGCCAGCCTGGTCTACAGAGCAAGTTCCAGGAAGCCAGGACTTCACAGAGAAACCCTGCCTCAAAAAAAAAGAAAAAGAACAGAAAAACAGAAACCAGCTAGATCGGGGTGGGTGCCTGGGGCAGAGCAGAAGAAGAACAAAAGGGCAAAAATGAATAATGACATATATGTATAAAAACAGCATAATGAAACCCATCATTTTGTAAGCTAACCTAAATTTGTAAGTGAAAAAAAAACAATTTAGAAACCCAAATGCGGAATCAAAGCTGCTCTTCCTGGAAGATAAGCCCAAATAGGTGCACACCCTCTGTGAGGGCAGAGTGGGTGGCTGCTACAGAGAGAAGGTGGTCAAAGGATGACATGGAGGTGCACATAAATACCCCGGAAATGTCCGCACAGAAGCCACCACAAAAACTGAAAACAGGCCTTCAGGCCATGCTGTCTACAAGCCTTGTCATAACAGCCTTTTCTTTCTTTCTTTTGCCCAACTTTCATCTGTTTGAAAATGTTCATGCCTGTGGAAGGATAATCTTGCCCAGCTCCCTAAACTCTCCCAAACTTAAGAGTGCTAGATGGAGCTGGATGTACTTTGCAGAGTTGATCTGTGGGGACCAGCGCAGGAATGTGGCTGAACAGAATTAACCATACCTGCACTGTGAAGACCTTCGTTAGCAGGTTCCGTGGCACACTCACCATCTCTGTGAGTTCAAAGCCAGCCTGGTCTACCAAGTGAGTCCAGAACAGCCAAGGCCACACAGAGAATATAACAAAAACCTGTGTGTGCGCCTGCGTAAAAAGCTAGTCTTCCCCAATCACCCTGTACAGTAAGCCTCATGGCCCGGGGGACAGACGTAGCTCAGTGGGCACAACACTTGCCTAACAAGCGGGAAGCCGGAGTTCAAGCCTCACTTCTGCATAAACTGGTGTGGGGGCAAATGCCTGCCCTCCAGTACTAAAGATGTGGAGGCAGGAGGACCAGGAGCCCAATACAGCCTTGGATACATGCTAGCAACTGTGAGGCCCTGTCTCAAAAATAATAACCACCACCACACAAACAAGGAGACTGCAGCTGATACAGCAGGCCTCAGACCTGCTGGCCTCCTTCACTTGTCCCTTTTCCCCCAGGGCCGGTCTTAGGAACCTTCTTTCCTCCAGCCCTGAATCCGGCCCTCTGACCCATGAGGGACCTGCTTCGGGAAGGGTCCGGCCCAGACTGTAGGAGGAGTGCTGAAATCCCAGCAGATGGCCTGCTGAGTCTCCCAGCTGACTGGTGTCTGTTAGTCCTCACTACAAGCATCTGCTTTCAGTCCAGTCCCATTGCAGTATTGCTGTGCATTGTTTCATCACGCCAACCCGGTGAGGTTTCCATTAGGACCAAACGGACACCGTTCAGAGAGCTTCATTTTGCCTGAGCACTGGGACTGGGAGTAGGGCCTCCTGGCGAGGACTGCTGTGCATCCCAGCCTCTGTGCCTTCACGCGTTTCTCCAAGGCCTGAGAGCGGAAAGCGAGACATTCTGAGAACACTGACTAGCAGCAACTGGACAAGAACAGGTGAACTGATGACGTAGACCAGTGGTGAGCGCCTACCTATAGACAGACAGCTGCAGCCCTGTTACTTAAGGAGCTGGGTGTGATAGCTCCCATCTAATTCCAGCCGCAGGTGGCTGACACAGAACTGTCACAAGTTCCAGGCCAGCCTGGGCTACACAGTAACTATGAAGAGCAGAAGTTCAAGATCATGTTCAGAGAGTTCGGAGCAAGCCTGATTTACTTATTGGAAATCAGCCAGGGCTGCACAGTGATACCTTGTGTCAAAGAAGATAGAGCAGGCTGGCGCTCAGGAGGAGGACACTTCCCTAAAATGCCCTGGGTTCAGTTCCCAGCAGCACAAAAAGAACACAAATTAGGGCCCGCACAGCCAGTGTCAATTACAGACTTGCTCGATTTATGCCCTGGGAAGCCCCACACATCTGGCATCAGAAGCAACCTGATGACAGGAGAAACTGAGTCTGGGTTTGGTTTGGTTTTTCCTTCTCCATTTCAAATAGGCCTTTCACAGACCTCCACCTAAAATCTAGAGTTGATATCAATATTTGAGATTCAACAGATGTAGGAAAAAAAAGCCATCCTGAAACCTTATTCATCTGACTGAAAACAACTTGAGGGAAATGGAATTGACTTACATTCCTCTTCAGGACTGGAAAGAAACCGGCCTGAAGGAGCAATAGCCCACAGGAGATGGTAGGACCGCGCATACTTGTACAAACAGTCACAAAAACTCCTACTCCCTGTTGTTCTGAAAATACAATCTTTTCCCAAGTCACTTGCTTTCCTCCAAGTACCCGTCTTTCACTCCTTGTAACCTGGTAAGATTACAGGCCATGGGAACAGAAGTCCTAACAGCCCCTTTCAGTGCCTTAGCTCTGCTTGCCTTCTTTTGTGTGCTGCTGGATAGTAAATGAACTGGCTCTTCCCCATCTCCACTAATTTGTTTTGTGTATGTGTGAATTTGATTCACAGATCTCAGCTACTCCCTCCAGGAATGAGGAAATGTTTCTCCCATACTTTCACATAATGTCCTTAAAGTCAACTGAGCACATCTACAAAATCCCTTCTCAGCAGCGCCTAGTTTGATTGAACATGGTACAAAAGCTCCACTAAACTGACAGGTGAACCCGCCATGTGAGGGAGAACACATGGCCCCTTCCGTGTAGACGCACCCCCACACCAAGGCATGTGTGCTCATGCACCATATAAAAGCAAACAGCGGGCTAGGGAGATGGTTTG